CACTGCTCAGGCTTCACTGGACTGTTTTGGATTGCTAGCTATCGGGGGGGGGGGACGTGCAGATCTGTCCTTGCAGAGGAGGGAGAGCTTGTACCTGAATAAAACTTGGTCTTAAAGGTGCCACTGGACTGTTTTGGACCGGGGGGCTGGGCGAGCTCTGCAACTTACCTGGCTGCTTCTTGCTCTGACTGAGGGCTGCTGGGAGCAGGGGGTGGGGCTTGTTGCATGTGCCCGCCTACTGAGCTCTTTACTGCCGGAGCTCCGCTCCTGTGTGCTCCTGCAGGAAACGACCCCTGTGGTACCCTCTATGTTACCGCCATCGTTAAGGAACTGTATTAACATAGACACTGCTAGCACTTTATGATACTGAATTATTTCATACTGAACTGTTTTCAGATGGTTTTATGATCGCTTCAACTGCTATTTATGTGTTTTACTTCTCGTGTAAGCCGCCCTCAGCCTGCCTCGGTGGGGAGGGCGGGGTATAAATTGAATAAATAAATAAAATAAATATATACCGCTTTCACTTTCTTTGATCATCGGGTCTTATGGCACTTTCTGCATAGATCTATGGCCGCTCAGGGGTGACGTTGCAGTCAGACCGGCTGACAAACTCCTTTCCCTTCCCCTCCCCACAACAGACACCCTGTGAGGTAGGTAGGGCTGAGAGAGCTCTTGACAGAAACGGCTCTTTTTCAAGAACAGCTCTTGTCAGAACTACGGCTTGCCCAAGGTCATCCAGCCAGGTGCAAGTGGAGGAGTGGGGAATCAAACCCGGTTCTCCCAGAATAGAGTCCGCACACTTAACCACGTGTTGGGTATTACAAGTTGAAAACACTCAGTATATCTGGGGTTAAATGTTTGTTTGTGTTGCTCACAGGAAGTCACATGTTTTTCATGTAACCAATGTTGTTTTAGGAGTACAAGCCCGGGGAAATTCTCCCTGATCTAGGAGTTTGATTGGAACGAAAGTGTCAAATTGTTTTAGCATTTTATGGCTCCTCTTCCCGTCTTTGTTTGCTGTTCTCAAGAAGAAGAAGGAGAGAAGCCATAACTCTCTTCTAGTCTTGTCTTTGTAGAGTAAGGAGGTAGCCGATTTAGCTCCGTTGTTATTTTCATCCCAGTTACCCTTCCCCATGCTAGAATTTAGTAAAAACTTTCTATTTTAAACACACATGGACTCTGAGTCTGAATAATTTTACTCTAGCTCTGCTAAGCTATCTTAAAGGTAAAGGTTCCCTTGCTCGAAAGCCAGTCGAATCCGACTCTAGGGTTGCGGTACTCATCTCCGTTTCAAAGCCGAAGAGCCAGCGCTGTCTGAAGACGTCTCCATGGTCATGTGGCCGACATGACTAAACACCAAGGCGCACGGAATGCCGTTCCCTTCTCACCGAAGTGGTACCTATTCATCTACTTGCAATTTCTTGCTTTCGAACTGCTAGGTTGGCAGGAGCTGGAACTGGAGACGGGAGCTCACTCCATCATGCGGCACCCGAGTCTCGAACTGCTGAACTACTGACCTTCCACAGCCTGCAGTTCAGCGTCTTAACCACTTGAGCCACCGCAGCTCCTTATCTTATCTATCTTATTTATCTTATCTTATCTAGCTATCTTATCTCTGCTAAATACATTTTTTTCAATATCTCACTATCAAAACCCAACACCACGACACCAAACTGGCTCCTAGGAATGTGGGTGACCGGGTTCTAATCGCAGAAGCTTGTTGGGGTGAACTCGGGCCTGCCACCAACTCTCCCATAGATTTGTAATGAGAAAACAGAGGTGGGGAGAAAACTGGGACTACAGCAAACAAAGCAGCATAGGAAGAGACCAATAAATACCTTGTTCATGCCGTTGCCCATGGTCTGCTGCAATCACGGGCGGCTGCAGCCGAGAACAGGTGTCCTTCCGCACAGTTCTCCTCTCTTATTCGCAGTGCGCAGAGAGACCAGGTGAGATCTGCGCCTCTGGGCCCCGCGCCCGTCACCGCCTCCCACCTCTTTAGACGACCGGTGCTCCTCGAGGTCTCCCTTCCAGCGGCTGAGTGTGTGCGTGGGGGAAGCGCTCGAACTCGGCACAGGCCCACCGGCTGGCTTCCCCTCCTTTCCTCCAGATGGCAAAGAAGCTACTCTGGAAAGGGCCTTTCCCCTGTTCTTGGCAGGCTGACAGCAGAGGGAAAAAACCCCACCTCTTATGCAACCGTGTGGGTGTGCCAAGGCCCGGCGGTACTGCTGCTCCACAAGTCAAAACACACAAAGCGCCAGTGTTTGGGAGAGAACAAAGACTTTTGTCATCCCAGATCACCGGCAACCAACCGAGGAGGGCCGACAAGTCAAGGCCGGGCGTCAGCTCTGCTTTCTGGCCTCCCCTCCTGCTGGGGCATCCCAAAACTCCAGGGTCGATCTGTCCCACTGCACCCCTTTGGAGTCCCAGGGCAAAACGGAAGTATGTGTCCGGGAAGAAAGGGGGGGGAACACTCTTTGGGGCTCCTAGAAATCCGTGTGACTCAGCCGAGCAAGTGTGGAGCATGTGAGAAGTGGGAGGCCGAGGGGAGACACTGTTCTGGCGGTGGAATGTGCGCGCGGGGAGGACGCCGCCAGATCTGGTTACCGCCTCGGACGTCACATGGCAGAAAATAGAACCTGCCAGCAAAAGGACACCTTGGGTGGCAACTGGACATCTCCATAGAGATTGGCGCTGGCTCTCCGGGGAGTGGCAGTAATAGAAGCTGGGGGCCCACACACACACCGGATAGCTGCCTGGGTCTGTATTTTGGCTGGCACAATCACTCCGTCACTCCGCAATAACAAAGCATGTGGGGGTGGGAGGGTTCCATAAGAACATAAGAGAAGCCAAGTCCAGCAGTGGGGCCAGGATGCTAGAAGCCCTCCCACTGTTGCCCCCCCACCAAGCACCAAGAAGACAGAGCATCACTTGCCCAGACATAAGAACATGAGAGAAGCCAATGTTGGATCAGGCCGATGGCCCATCCAGTCCAACAGTCTGTGTCACACAGTGGCCAAAAATACCAGGTGCCATCAGGAGGTCCAGTAGTGGGGCCAGGACACTATAAAAGCCCTCCCACTGCTGCCCCCCCCTGCACCAATGGCAACCTCAGGGCCAGACTTAGGCTGGCCAGAGCCAGTTTGGAAAAAATCCTGGAGACCTGAGGATGGAGCCTGAAGGCAGAGTCTTGGAAGGGCAGCAGGCTCCACAAGGATCGTTGCCAGCCTCCAGGTGGAGCCTGGAGATCTCCGGCTATGACTACTGACCCATAGATGACAGAGATCAGCTCCCCTGGAGGAAATGGCTGCTTCGGAAAGCGGACTCAATGGCATTGTCCCCGACAGAGGTCCTTCCCCTCCCCAAACCCCGCCTTCTCCTGCCTCCACCCCCAAAGTCTCCAGGTCTTTCCCAGCCCAGACCTGGCAACCCTACCCAGCAGGGATGTGACGCATCCAATGAAGCTGATGGGCAGGGGTCATTTCTTGCAGGAGCCAACGGGAGCGCAGCTCCGGCAGTAAAGAGCAGTCTGTGTCACACAGTGGCCAAAAATACCAGGTGCCATCAGGAGGTCCAGTAGTGGGGCCAGGACACTATAAAAGCCCTCCCACTGCTGCCCCCCCCTGCACCAATGGCAACCTCAGGGCCAGACTTAGGCTGGCCAGAGCCAGTTTGGAAAAAATCCTGGAGACCTGAGGATGGAGCCTGAAGGCAGAGTCTTGGAAGGGCAGCAGGCTCCACAAGGATCGTTGCCAGCCTCCAGGTGGAGCCTGGAGATCTCCGGCTATGACTACTGACCCATAGATGACAGAGATCAGCTCCCCTGGAGGAAATGGCTGCTTCGGAAAGCGGACTCAATGGCATTGTCCCCGACAGAGGTCCTTCCCCTCCCCAAACCCCGCCTTCTCCTGCCTCCACCCCCAAAGTCTCCAGGTCTTTCCCAGCCCAGACCTGGCAACCCTACCCATGTGAGTGTTATGCTAATGAGCTCCTGCTCCTCTTTTTCTACGAAATGACCCGTACTGATGGGTAACAGATTCGGGGCAGACAAAAGGAAATGCTTCTTTCTACAGAGAGTGATTAACATGCGGAATTCACTGCCAGAGGAGGTAGGGAGGGTCACGAGAATAGACGGCTTCGAAAGGGGGTTAAGATAGACTCATTGGAGAAGAGGTCTAGCAGTGGCTAGTAGCCCTGGTGGCTGAAGGGAACCTCCACAGAGGCAGTCCACCAGCTCTGAATCCCGGAGCCAGGAGGCAACAACAGGGGAAGGCCTCGGCCTCTGTGCCCAGTCGTTGGCCCTCCAGAGGAACTGGTTGGCCTCTGTGTGAGACAAGAGGCTGGGCTAGAGAGCCAGTTTGGTGTAGTGGTTAGGGGCGGCACCCCAAAACAGTCCAGTGGAGCCTGAGCGGTGGGTGTTGCCTTCTGACACACTTCCGGTGATGTCGGGGTGTGTGGCACATGCAAATAAGCTATGTGAGTGTTATGCTAATGAGCTCCTGCTCCTCTTTTTCTACGAAATGACCCGTACTGATGGGTAACAGATTCGGGGCAGACAAAAGGAAATGCTTCTTTCTACAGAGAGTGATTAACATGCGGAATTCACTGCCAGAGGAGGTAGGGAGGGTCACGAGAATAGACGGCTTCAAAAGGGGGTTAAGATAGACTCATTGGAGAAGAGGTCTAGCAGTGGCTAGTAGCCCTGGTGGCTGAAGGGAACCTCCACAGAGGCAGTCCACCAGCTCTGAATCCCGGAGCCAGGAGGCAACAACAGGGGAAGGCCTCGGCCTCTGTGCCCAGTCGTTGGCCCTCCAGAGGAACTGGTTGGCCTCTGTGTGAGACAAGAGGCTGGGCTAGAGAGCCAGTTTGGTGTAGTGGTTAGGGGCGGGGCCACGGTCATCTGAGGGAAAACCCCGCCCCCAGCGTGCCCGGCGTTGTCGCGTCACTTCCAGGTGACGGGGTTGCAGCGCGCTGCAGGAACAAGCCGGGAGGCCCCCGCTCCAGCAGCAGGTAAGACTTGGCAACCCTAGGCCCCACTGTACCTACGGGCCTGGTCCCCAAGGTGGTGAACATAAAAACGCTATAAGATTTGGACAGTTAAAAACAGCATTTATAGTTATAAAGTAATTCAATGAGAACACATAAACAAACAACACCAGAATCGGGGAGGAGGTCGAGTAACTTGCTGGGGGTAGGCCAGATGAAACAAAAAACGTCTTCATGGGCTGGCAAAAGGTACCAGTACTGGGAGCCAGATTAATCTCCCTGGGGAGGGAGTTTCCAAAGTTTTGGGGCCCCAACCAAGAAGGCCCTGCCTTGGGTCATCACCCGTTAGGGTTCCCAGGTCTTACCTGGCGGCTGGCGGGGGGTGGGGGGGGGGTGTCCAGTCTTGCTCTGGGGGTCTTGTCACGTCGGGCGGGTCACTCTAGACATTTTGGGGGGGGACCTTTATGGTCACCATACACTTTCCCCCAAAATTCTAGCGCTTCCGCTGTGCGACGTGCCCAGTACGATGATGTCACCCCTGGGTGATCTCATTGCACCAGGCACATCAGGTGGGGCGGGGCTCTTTGGGGGGTGAGGCTCCCCCTGCAGACCAGCCGACCACCGGCAGATTGGGGCTCCCGAGATTGAGGGGAACTGAAGTTTGGTGTCGTGGTTAAGTGCGCGGACTCTAATCTGGGAGAACCGGGTTTGATTCCCCACTCCTCCACTTGCAGCTGCTGGTGTGACCTTGACTCCGAGTGAAGGGTGAGGTATAAATCCAATCTCCTCTTCTTCTCTTCTAGATGGACTACTGGTCTGATCCAGCAAGGCTCTTCTGATGTTCATAGGAAGGCCTTGGCCTCTGTGCTCTGTTGTTGGCCCTCCAGAGGAACTGGGTGGCCACTGTGTGAGACAGGATGCTGGACTAGATGGACCACCGGTCTGATCCAGAAGGGCTTTTTTCTTATTCTTAAGAAGGCCTTGGCCTCTAAGCCCTGTTGTTGGCCCACCAGAGGGACTGGTTGCCCACTGTGTGAGACAGGATGCTCGACTGGATGGACCATTGGTCTGATCCAGCAGGGCTCTCCTGATGTTCTCATGAAGGCCTTGGCCTCTCTGCCCTGTAGTTTGCCCTCCAGAGGAACTGGTTGGCCACTGTGTGAGGCAGGATGGTGGACTAGATGGACCACTGGTCTGATCCAGAAGGGCTTTTTTCTTATTCTTAAGAAGGCCTTGGCCTCTAAGCCCTGTTGTTGGCCCGCCAGAGGGACTGGTTGCCCACTGTGTGAGACAGGATGCTGGACTAGACAGGCTACTGGTCTGGTCCAGCAGGGCTTTTCTCTTATTCTTAAGAAGGCCTTGGCCTCTATGCCCTGTTGTTGGCCCACCAGAGGGACTGGTTGCCCACTGTGTGAGACAGGATGCTGGACTCAATGGACCACTGGTCTGATCCAGCAGGGCTCTTCAGCTTCTCTCATTAAGGCTTTCTCATGAAGGTCTTGTCCTCTCTGCCCTGTTGTTGGCCCGCCAGAGGGACTGGTTGGCCCCTGTGTGAGGCAGAATGCTGGACTGGAGGGACCACTGGTCTAATCCAGCAGGGCTTTTATGTTCTCATGGCGGCCGCGGCCTCTGTGCCCTGCTGTTGGCCTTCTAGGAGAACTGGCTGGCCCGTGTGAGACAGGATGCTCGACTGGATGGATCACAGGTCTGATCCAGCAGGGCTCCTCGGATGTTCTTATGTCAGCCTGTGGCAACAAGGGCACGACAAAGGGCGTAGGCTTGTTGTGTCGCAGGCGAGGAGGCAAAAGGGTGATCCTCCATTGGGACTGTCAGCCACCCCACCCCACCCCCGACTGCTTAGCTCTGCTTGCCTCTGGACCATTTGAACGTCCCGATCTGCCCCTGTAGGGACCCCTGAGCGGCAGCCCCTCCCTGGCTAGGCATGAAGCAATGCAGTTTTTCATGTGGCCACATCCCCTCCTTGTGGCAAGCGCCAACGGAAGGCGACAGTTGGGTGTGGCCGCTACAGGTCCCTGCTGCCACCACGTGATTCATGTCTCACAGCCCTGGCATTTAGTGGGTTGCCTCCCCAAGGGATTGCCTCACCCGGCAGACAGCCATGTCTCTAAACAAACACCTCCGATGCCAGTTACAGCTGCCACCCCTACTCCTTGCTGGGCGCCGGACCCTGAAAGGGCACCTTCGTTCCTGCCCTGTCTCCAGCCACGGGCTGGAGATCTCCTGGAATTACCTCTGGTCTCCAGACTGCAGAGATCAGATCCCCTGGAGAAAAAGGGCAGCATTCGTGGGTGGGTTCTGTGGCGTTGCCCCCTGCTAGGTCCCAACCCCCCCAAAAAAAACTCCAGGAATTTTCCAACCCTTGCTCCGACTGTCAGAAGAAGAGAAGAGATTGGATCTATACCCCTCCCTTCACGCGGAGTCTCAGAGCGGCTGACAAACTCCTTTTCCTTCCCCTCCCCACAACAGACACCCTGTGGGGTCGGTGGGGCTGAGAGAGCTCTGAGAGGACTGCCCTTCCAAGGACA